GCGTCCAGATTTCTCCAACTTTTGAGGTATCCAAAGGTGCCATGGGAGAGAAATACAAGGCAATAGTCCAAGAGTTCATTGACCTCGCCGTAGTTCCTGGAGCAATGGCATCACTCCCAGACCTACCTGTGCACCATCACATTGTGACCACAGGCCCACCTGTTTACGCCCGCCCTCGCCGCCTTGCAGGCGACCGCCTGGCTACAGCACACAAGGAATTTGACTTGCTTCTTGAGAGAGGCATCATTCGTCGTCCTCGAGTCAGTGGTCCAGCCCACTTCACCTCGTGCCAAAGCCAAATGATGGATGGCGCGCCACGGGTGACTATCGCCGCCTCAATTGTGTAACCCAGCCAGACCGTTACCCTTTACCTGTCATTGAGGACCTATTGCAAAAGTGTAAAGGTAAGGTTTTCTCTGTTGTAGATTTACAGTGCGCCTTCTACCAGATCCCAGTGGCGCCGGAGGACGTCCAGAAGACGGCGGTCACGACACCATTTGGCATCTTTGAATTTTTGGGCACGCCAATGGGTTTGCGCAACGCAGGCCAATCCCTTCAGCGCACAATAAATCACCTGCTCCGAAAGCTATCAGCTTTCGTCAAATGCTATGAAGACGATATACTGATCCACTCCACCAACCACGACGAATATCAGCAGCACCTTCGACTCCTGCTGTCTACCCTCAGGGAAGCCAAACTGTCCGTCAACTGGTCCAAGTGCCACTCTGGTCTGAACCAAATCGTCTTCGCAGGCTACCTGGTCACGTCAGTTGGCATCAGCCCGTCCGCACCAAAGACAGCAGCCATCACTGACTTCCCAAAGCCGCACGACTCCTCACAGTTGCGTCGCTTCTTGGGTATGTTGAATTTCTACTTCTGAACTCCAAGCGCCACTTACCGAGTTGCTCAAAGGGTCCACAGCCAAGAAATCGGTCCTGTCCTGAACGACCGACGTTGAGGCCGCTTTCGGAAATAGCAAAGCAGCAATCGTAAACGCTACCGAAACTGTCTTCCTGTCTGCATCACAGCCACTTGCACTCAGAACAGATGCGTCAAACGTACGTTGCCCTTGGTGTCTTGGACCAACGTCAACCAGACGGTTCATGGGCTCCGCTTGGGTTCTTTTCACGTAAGCTGTCACCCACAGAACAACGCTACTCTACATATGACCGCGAGCTCCTCGCTGTTTTTGCTGCGGTCAAACACTTTTCAAGGAGTCTTGTAGGTAGGCACTGTACTATTTTTACAGACCATCGTCCGTTGACCTTCGCAGCGAGACAAAACCCCGAGAAGACTTCGCCCCGCCAGATGAGACACATTTTCCAATTTGATGCGGAATTCGTGCACACACCTGGAGTTGACAACACTGTGGCGGACGCCCTGTCACCAGTCGACCAAGTATCTATGCCCACTACGCTAGATATTCGCACCATCAGTGAGGCCCAAGCTACAGACGAACAGCTTGGCCACCTAACTGAAAACTCCAGGGTGAATTTCCAACAGCTCGAAATGGAAGACTGTCCAATTTACTTTGCTGTCATTGATGATAGCCTTAAGCCCTACCTTCCTGTGAGCCTGAGACGTCAACAGTGGCGTAACTACAGGGGGGCCGGGCCCCCCCCAGACGTCGCTGGGCCACCCCAGAAAAAACTTTAATAATTTGGTATTTTATGAAAGCTACGTTACCTATTATAATTTTATGTTATTACCTACTAAATTTGAACGGTAATGCGCGGCGATCCTAATCGACCTTATCCTATCTGATCCTCCGATCCACCAACAAACGGACTATCTGCCATTGTGCCACCCAAAGGTCAGTGCAAATTGCAATGTGCAGAAGTGATACAGTATACCAAAGCCATTAAATTAGCACTACCAATGTAACAGATTAGTTTGGGAGTTTGACTAAATATTTTTCCTGTGAATCTGTGAATCGGTGTTGCTGATATACTATACAGTGGCTGATAAGCTGGGTTAGCTAGGTTTAGTCAGCTAAACGCCTATAATTGCACTGTTCTACTTTTTTAAAGATTCCAATAAGTCGCAATAACAGGCCCTAGGCCACTGGCCCCTACTACATGGGGGCATTGGAGCAGGTGCTCCCATGAGCAACCTCTCATGGGTGCTCGAAGCTCTCGTAGGGAATGCGAAGTATAAACGTATTTAAATGGTCATTCCGTTCCGTGTGGTAGTATCAGTATGATGTATTATGTTATTTAAATTTACACAATAACTTTGTATAAGAATTATACAAGTGGTATAAGTCTTAGTGTACAAACACAGTGCAAGCAGGTTTTTCGCTTACTGGTAGGCAACGCCGATCTGCGCAGTGTTCTCGCGCCGAGATAGCACAGAGTGAATAACTGCAAAAGAAAGTGAGAAAATCTTTTTAAACTTCAAATCTGCCACCTGCCAGTTGTGTCGCGTCTCGAACTAGCCTAGCAAATATGTCATCTTTGGATGATGATGATTTGATTGCTCTAGATTCTGTGCATACTAAATTAAAAAGAAAAAAGATGTTATACATATTCTTAATCATGAAAGAAACCTGTATGGAGAATATTATTTCTCTCCAATATTTGTCGACTTCATTTTAATTGCTATGCTGCTTATGCCTTTTGTCCCAAATAGGGTTTTTTTTCAAAAATTGCAGCATTAGTAACTCCTTATCCATCACAAGAACTGAAAAGCACTGCCGCGGCGCGTGCAAAAACAGAAATTAACTAAATTTTAATTCCGGTTAAAACGAGAACGCATCTACCTGCCTCTACCTGCTTTTTACTGTGTTCTAGCCGATTCAAAAGCATGCATTCATTTTTCGCGCCTATAAGCGCGAGTCAGCGCTGGTTACCGGTAAGCGGAAATCTACTTGCACTGTTTGTACACTTAAATTAGGGAGGTATTAGTATTCATGTTGCTATTCTCCATCTCTATTCTTTGATAATAACCGGGACATAAGGCATTTTAGGACATAAAAGTACCACGCATAATTACTTTGATAATGATGTGATATTTTCTTGGCCTAAAATGCGTGCAGAAAAGAGCATCTATGAGGACTTTCAAAAATCGACGCCTCTGCCAGGCCCACCCTAGGCCCCCCCAGGTCAGATGGCTATATAGTTACGCCAATGGACGTCAGGCCTTTGAAACCGCACACCGCCTTTCACACCCCAGTGACCCAGCCACCGCTAAGCGCATAGCGCTCAAGTACTTCTGGCCGGGCCTCCGCAAAGATGTCTTTCGCTGGGCTAGTGCCATGCCAACAATCCAAGGTCTATCGCCACAACCGAGCAGAGTTAGGCAACTTCAAGACCCATGACGCACGGTTTGATCATATTCACATTGACTTGATCAAACTGCCACTGGTCCAGGACTACCAGTATTGCCTGACCATAGTAGGCAGGTACTCACGGTACCCTCATGCCATTCCTGTGCGTGAGACAACTGCACCCACTGTAGCACGTGCCGTCTTCGATGGCTGGATGGCACACTTTGGCACACCGCTCACGATTACGTCCGACCAAAGCCCTCAGTTCGAGGCCATTCTTTTTCAGCAACTCAGCCATTTTGTCGGAGCCAAGCACATCCATACGACGCCATACCATCCGCAGGCCAATGGCATGGTCGAGCGGATGCACAGAACACTCAAGGCCGCCTTGATGTGCTCTCCAGAAACGCCCTGGCCCCAAGCTCTTCCTATGGTTCTACTGGGCATGCGCACCATGTGGAAGGAAGATCTCCAAGCTTCACCGGCCGAAATGGTCTTTGGTACCTCCCTCCGTATGCCTGGGGAGTTCATGGTCACACAGCCAAGCACCAGCTTTCTCCGAGAGCTGCGCTCCCTATTCAGAGCGCTCAGGCCTATTCCAGCCTCGAGACACACTTCACAACGCCCATGGGTGTTTAAAGACTTAAATACACGTGAATTTGTTTTCAGGCACGTCGAGAGCATCAAAAAGCCACTGCAACCTCCATACACTGGCCCACACCGAGTCGTGCTTCGTGTGAACGACCGCACATTTGTCATTGATGTCAATTGCAAACACAAAACCATCTCGACAGACCAACTTACGCCTGCTCACATAGCTCCTGATGAAGTCCAGCCTGCTGCACAGCCAAGGCCCCTGGCGCAGCAAACTTTTGCTGCCACTCCATCCAGCTCCCCGACAATCGCTGGCCTCTCAAGGGCCGCCACAAGCTACGTCACAGCAGTCGGCCTTACCAAGGCCGCAGTCAGTTGTAGAGCCCCCTGCACTCAGCTTAGCCCACAAGCTGCGCTATTCTATCCGGTTGTGCGCCTGCAGCCACCGCCAGCTAGACCGCCATTAGATTAGCTGGTCATGCCTAGATCAGTGGAGTCACCACAGTCCACGACGCAGGCCAGTGAGCCTTGCCTGAATCCACCACTGCAAGAGTCAGATCCTACTCCAGAGCAGGACATAGGACTTTGCCAGCAGTACCGTCGCCTAGAGGAGCCCCCAAAAAGGTTTCATTTTCATTGCCTTCTCCCAGTTCCTTGAAGGTCATTGGGAGCGGAGTAGCTGTGGCGCCTGAGATTGCCACCTGTCGCCAGCGAAAACAGCGACCTCTATGCTACTCCGGCAATTGCGCAAGCTAAGCGAAGTCGTTGGACAGCACCGCCATGATGCCATGAAGAGCCAGTCTATCAACAGTCACTATCGAGTCATTAACCAATCGGTTAGAATTCGTCGTCGCGACCTTTTGTAATTCGTTCTTATTCCATTCAATATTTTATTGTAACTTCTAGTAATATGACTTAAATGTAAATTTTACTTTAACCTAAATTCTAAAATGTGAAAATTCGAAACTCTGTCCGCTTAGTTTAAATAAACATTAACGTCTTTTAATCGACTCTCCAGCTTTTCCCACTAAAACAACCCCATCATCGAAATCCAAAAATTTCAATTGGGACTTTAAAAAAGGTTACCTATTTTGGGTACCAAGCAAGTTGTTAATTGGGTTGAAAATTAAACCAGAAATCATTTATAAAATTTTATTTAAAACTTAAGTAGCAAAAAAGTCACAAAATATAATTAACACATCTCGTAGTTTCTAAAAAAAAAAATACATTCTATAAAGCAATAATAGGATACAAAAAATCAGCAATATTAGTATTATATAAAGTATCAGAGATGTTGAAGATATTCAATTAAAATGTTTCCAAATTCACAGGAAAAGTTTACCTTCCTCAACATCTTCAGCCTATTTGCATAATACTTAAAATAAACAAAATAATATCACAATTTAAAAAAATCCATTCATGGGTTTACATTTAAAAAAAAAATCATCACAGAATATGTCATGGCTACTAAAAAATATGTTCCCCAGAATAACTAGGGCTCGGCGGTGTCGTAGGTATATTCAAAGGATGCCTTCGTTGCATAAAAGTCCTTAGCCTGGTACAAGGTATAACTGCTAATAAATTCTCCTGGAAAAAATAGCAACATTAACAAAACTCCAATAATAATTACATAAATACTTTACTTCTTTGATCCAAGGAAAATTCAAAGCCTTTTCCATATCCATTCTTTGTCCCGGGACTAAAACCAATAACTTCCCAATAAACTCCTTGGCATTATCAGACACGCTACAAAAATACTCATCGGGATAGCAATAGTCGCATTTCAAAATATTAGCAGTGGTTTCTTCCATGGAATCGTCCAAAAATGGTGAAACTCCACTCAGAAGAACATAAAGGAAAACTCCTGCCGCCCAAACATCTGTATGTTTACCAACAGGCTGGCCCAAAACTAATTCAGGCGAGGCAAATTCCAAGCAAGCAGGAGGTAGGATAACATTTTTTGATGTGTTTACTGAGTCACCAAAGTCTACTAGTTTTAAAAGGGGAGGTGAAAATGATGTGTCTGCCATTACGTTTTCAGGCTTAATGTCCAAATGTACCAAGTCTTTCCTGTGAAGCCAGGCTAAGGCTGAAATAAGTTGTCTGGTATACAATTTGACGTCGTCTTCTAAATAATCGCCCCTATCGGCTAGATATGTAAACAATAATGGCCCTTTTACCCTACAAAAAAAAATGCCTAATAAAAATCTCAATATTGTATTAAAGGCACATACAATTCTAGAACTATAGTGTCAGTTCCAGGTACTGGAGCATTGTCGAATAAAGCCAAGGATCTGATTATATTGGGATGTTCCATGCTGGCTAAAAGGGCATATTCGGCTTGGGTGATGTTATGTGCTTGTTTTCGTCTCGTGATTTGTTTGAGTGCCACCTGGACGTTAGTACCTAGAATTTGAGTCACATTTTATTATAAATGTTAGAACTAATCTGGAAAAGATCACTTATATCAAACTACACCGTATATTGAAATCAGTTATTAACTGAATCTGGCAAGGATATGTGTGAAGTAAGTAAGTGGTGCCTTAGAAATTATAATAATTTGGTAAGGTAGCTGTGTTGACTGAGCTGTCATTTATTTTGAATCTTTCCAGAAATCCTAGAGAAATTACGTGTATTGTTCCAAGCTGGAATATGGAGTACAATTTTGGAGAGATAGTAGGTACAGGATGACAAGTTATAAAGTACCACCCCCCTGTAACTTTTTTATTTTCGATCGTACAGTTACAGAGGGTGGTAGGTATTTTATAGCTTGACACCCAGTATATTGGAAATGCATACATATTTATGAACACAAATTTGAAAAAAGCTATAAATGAAGCTATTTCAAAGAATAATGATACAGATCATGAGAAGTTGGGAAAAATAGACAAGTATTATTAATATCGTATCAGAAAATAGACAAATTTGAAGATGAGGAAAATCTTAGAAAAGATACGAATAAAGAGATAAAAGACATGAAGTAGAACGTTCTGGAATATAGAGCTACAAGTTAAGGAAATCAAAACTACATAGATAATCCAGGAGAATCTAATTGGATCATCAACTCCTTTTAAAGAGCTTGTCTCCCAAAAGGCTGGAAACATGTAAAACTGATTATGCTATGTAATTTACTAATCTTCTAGCTGAAATTTGAACTAGAAAGGCATTACATTTCTATTCCCGGCGCTCCTATAATGTGAAAAATTGAACTAAAGAAATGTAAAACCTTGATTTTAGAACATTGAAGCTGGAGCTAGAGTGGTTCGCAGAGCTAAAATTCAATTGGAAATTTGTGAAAATCTAATTTCCCAATCTTCTAGTTGAAATTTGAACTAAAAAGGAATCAAATTTCTATTTTCGGGGCTCCTATAATGACAAAAATTCAACTAAAGAAGAGTAGAACTTTGATTTTAGAACATTTCGGAGTTAAAGCTGAGCTAGAGTGGTACGCAGAGCTAAAATTTAATTGGAAATTCGTGAGAGAATACCAGGATTCAACAGGAAACTGAAGACCTGGACTTAATTCCAGATGAACTTCACCAAAACAAGATGTCCATAGAAGAATTTACCATTTATAAATTCAATTGAAGTTCCTCTAATTCTAACTCTATTTTTGAATAATGTGATCACCCACTTCAACATTCTAGAATATCCAGATATTCCAATTCCATCTAAAAAGAAGACATCAAGGGCAAATAATGAAAACAAAAACACCGAGAAAACAAAATTCAATCCAAAAAAAGACTCACAAGATCAAATTCAAACTATCAATGTTCCTATAAATCCTATTGACTATTCTCACCTCTATCCTTTGCTAATCGTACCACCGAAAACCTGCCTCTACTAATCTCCTCCAACTCAATATATCTCCGTTTAAATTGTTCCTGTTGCCATAATAAAGTATCAGCCACAGGCAATGTTACGGCCAAAGTTGGAAGGCTCACTGCCATCGTTTGGCAAGACACCAAACGGAAACTATAAGTTTCTCCTGCTACTAAATTATCTATTGTAAAGCTGTTGCCACTGATAGGTGCATTAGACGATGTCCATTCTCCAGAGCCTAACTTACAATATTCAATCAAAAATTGTTCATTTTGTGGGTTTTCCCATTCTAGCACGACAGTGTTAGAAGTGAGAACCTGGATTTTTGGCTCCGCCAAAGGAGAACTGTTAGTTAGAACCGTTAATATGCAGGTGCAACTTGCTGAACCATACTCGTTGGTTACTGTAAAAGAATAGGTTCCGGAATCACTAGGCTTAGCATTTTCCAGGCTCAATATTGCCACTCCGTCATTGTTACTGTCCAACATAAACCGACCGTTTCTTAGAATACATAAGTTGGGTTCCAGCTTTTTCCAGCTTTGTCTACAATTAGGCCCGCACTGTTTGACTCGACATTTTAATATTACTTTAGAACCACTTTGGATTGTTATATCTTTGAGTCTGTCTTTGAACTCCGGAAGAGGGCCTTCCAGGATTGTGTCTACATGAGTACCATTAGTTGGAGGTTTAATAGCAGGTGGTTTTTTGAAGCTGAAAATAATTGAATTAGTATGAGCAAATTTTTACTGTGTGATGATTTTTTACCCAAAATTCCAATGTTTCCTTCCGTGATGTGATATGCAAGAAGCAGGTAGCCACTTTTGTTGACGTAAAACGTTAGCTAGGACGCAATAGCCTTGGGTTGCGTCAAAAGTTATAATAGTTACTACATCTCCGATATTGAGACCGGCATATTCTGAAATTATTCTGGCTTGTGTGCCTGGAGCTAGAATGTGATTTTCGGGCTGGAAAAATGTAATTTTTGTGTGAAAGTTGTCTAGGAAATTTGGGTTAGTTGCTAACTAGTGAACCCAAAGCCAAAAAATGAAGCATTTTTTATATGTACAAGGTGTTACAAAAAGCTATAAAACTCAATTCAGCACAGATTTATAAAGAATATAATGCTCTTTTCTATATAATTTGTATTGATTTGCATCCCTGTATAACTCTTATAATTACCCATACTAACTCGAAACTTTGTAACACCTTGTATATGCGAAGAATTTTACTTTTTATGAAGCAGATAAAAGCAGAATTCTTTTCCAAAGCAGCCAAAATAATTTAAAATTCATGCTCACCTTTCTAATAATGAACAATCAGCCTAAAACTCCATTTTAGTAATAAATGCAACTCAAAAATCATCAAAAATTTATTATCCAAAACAACACTACTACAACTTACTTTTCTCTATTTGTAGGAGCCTCTAATTAAAGCTTAAACTCTAACTTAAATATACACAATAATAATTATTAAAATGTTTACTCTATATATCACAGCCTTTTTTAAGGGTTAGTTTTTACGTTTTATTGTGTAACTGGAAAATTTAAGGAGTTAGGATACCTAGAGGAAAAAAGAGAAACAAATTGTTAAAAGCATGCGATAATATATAAAGCCGAAATTATTTACAAGAATTTTCAATAATATAAATCTTACCGAATGTTGCGTCTCGCTCCACCTTCTATGCAAGTCATTTTTTTCACTCTCTTTGCCAGCTTCCAATACCACAGAGTCACTTTTGTGTTTGTTTCTCAAAGTACTTCTAAATCCATCGAAAAATGTCTTTTTATTGGATTTTTGGTTGTGGTTTTTACCGTCAGAGGTTTCACTAAAATATATGTTTTTCAAAAAAACTTTTGGTTTAAATACAAACAAATTACCTTGAACTAAGATCACTCTCAGATGGTATCCCGATAGTGTTGGCCTTATGAATATAGTGAGCAGGTTTTCTGGGTGGTTTTGAGCTGCTACTCTCACTATCTATGGGCGTGGTTCTTGTGAATTCCCAAGGAAACTCTGAGCTATTAGAGATAAATTATAATTCAAAAAGAGTTTTTATTAAATTGTATGGAAGAGCGACCAACCTTATGGCAATCCTTATTGAAAGCTTTTTTAAGGGAAAAATAAAATAATAATAAAAATGAACAAACAAAAAAAAAACGAATAAAACTCATTTTGTTATATTTTTAGTGTTTTATTCTATTGAAAATTTTTATATTCCATTGGAAAATAATAAGTACATATTTATATACAAACACAATTATTTACAATTGAAAAATAACGCTTATAAACTAAGTATACATGCACATTGATTATTTTTGTGTGATGTTTTCGAGTGGGTGGGTTTTGTCACTATTATTTGATTATGTAGAGGTACAATATGTACCTAAAATGTACAGCGTTTTAATTAAGAGACTTAAAAATTGTTCAATATATCTTTGACTTTAAATAATGAGCACTTTTTGAGCATCACATTTTGTTTTAATTGGAAAATTATTACCTTTTTTTTTTAAGTCTATTAACAATAGTTTGTTCAGTGTATATGCAATAAAATCACAATAATTATTACAAAAAAAATTCAACAAAAACTAATATTTTACACAATAATTTAGGGTATTATGTAATATTTATGTATGGGTATATGGGCGTGAAACTAACCCAAATAGTCGTCCCCTATCTCACAAACGGTCGTATCTCATATCGGGGTCAGAATTCTTCACAACAACATGAAATACCAAGGCAAGATAATAGTAACAATAACAGAAACAGACAACTATTGCAGTGATAATGATCTGGATTCTCTTGAGAATGTGCCACTAGCACGTTTACAAAAATCGTACACTAAACAAAGTACCTATTGTCGAAAATAAAATTTATTCTTCTGGTGAAGACGACCTCCCATTAATTATATTTGTGAAGCCCATTACCTTTTAAATCAAAACAAAAACGATCCAGACGCAGATCCGAATTTCACTAGGATTTGTGAAGCACCTGAATGTGACGATGAAATATTTAATTGCTGCCATAAATGCTGGAAATTGCTTTGTTATACACATTTTATAGACGATGATGATAATTGCCGCAACCATTGTGAGCAAGTTTCCCACAAATTAACAAGTAACCCAGTTTCTAACGGTGATTATACTATAGAAAGTATCGAACTTGGTACAGCTGACAAACCAAGCCACTCAAATTTTGAAAAATCAACCTCAAACCATCATTTTATTCATATTCAAGGCCCAGCAAAAATATTAATTGAATTTGATAAAAATGCAAGGAAAACAAGTTAAGAATATTTAGCAAAAAGCAAAAACAAATTGGTTCGTTAATTATTCAAGCCAATCAATGAAAAATTGAATAGAAAGGTATTTTGCTAATTTAATTACATATTTGATTAAGCAAAAATCTAGGATTTTGAAGCAAAAATTTCAGGTTTTTGAAGCAAAAATCCAGGATTTTCAAGCAAAAATTCAGCAATTTGAAGAAATTTCCAAGCGGTTACCCACAAAGCAAAATTCCCTTTATATTATTCAACATCTTCAATGTATTTTACACTCGCGAGACAAAATTAACTCTTTTAAATCCACTCAAAATCTTGATCTCTCTATAAAGATAAATCCTGGTTCGGTACGTTATCGAAGGGAAGATGGAAGATGGACTGTTAACAAGCGAGATATCTTTTGTTACTAATTGACAGTTACAATGCTGGAAACGCCACACGACCATAGTCACCAATAGTATCGAGATTTATCAATATTGAGTCGATTTCTTGTTTTTTTCAAATTTTATCGCGTATAAATTGTAACCATTCTGGGCCCATAACCTGTAGAAATTTTTGTATAAGTACCGGCTCTTGATTTAAGAGAAAAAACAAGCACATTAATATATTTTTGTGTTTTTCTTGCAAACTATTAAACCTACACCAAAACTATACATTAATAATTTGTAGAACATTTGCTTGGCTTCAATTTGAGCCTTATTTCATCGAAATCGGTTAGAAATCGACAAAGTTACGAGACAAAATATGAAGCACTTTGAAAAAAATCAAAATCTTATGTAACAGGGTCCTGTATTACCGGCCTACTTGATTAATGGCGTTTGCATTATGTTCAACTCTTTCTCTGAGCCTGGAATAGAGAAAGAAATCTTTCTTTAAGGCCTGCTTTATCAAAAAAGCCTATTCTAACATGAAATTACTATAAACTCTACACACAAAAAGCCTCCGTTCTATAATAAATTAGTTTTCTCGATACTCACCCCTTAAACTGAGGCCTCCGCTCGGAAATTCAGTTTTCCGGGCAAATTAAACACCGAATTCGAACCGCGACACTTTTCCCAACACTTAAGAGTACTTTTTCCTATTGAAAACTGGAAAATTCGACGAAAAACCCAAGGCCGAAATAAAAACGCGTTGGCCATTTTTTCACTTATAATGGTCGACTGTCAAGTGTCAAAAATACTATTCCAAAGCCTACTTGATTGAAACCTATTAATAAAGGCTTATAATTTATTAATTTTGATGCAATTTAACCTAATTACGCCTTGATTAAGTCCTAATTAGTTATTTCACTCGATTTTAGGTGTTTTTTGGGGCTCGCTATAACAGCGCCATCTCGTGGCAAATGAGTGTAGTACCATTATTGTTTCAAAATGGCTCACGCGTTTTTTTCATTGCTGGCTTTTCGTTTAAATTTCCATAATTTTATTAAACATTATTAATTGATTATTTATCTAAATTTTAAACAAAAAACAATTTAAAATGTAATTTTTTCCTATTTGAAATGTGGCAACGTCGCTTTTAATCAAGTAGGCCTTGTAACGAAATGTCATTTGCCATTTTTCTTTTAACAGTCGGCCATTTTTCATTGACGTGTTTACGTTTTATCCAGTTTTTCCTCGAATTTTCCGCTTTTCCAGGCCGTTTTCAGCTGGGAAAACTGGTTTAAAATAAGAGGCTTCATTTTCCGTCAAAATTTTCTAGTTTTCCGAGGGGGTAAGTAACGAAAACTCAAGTTTTATCAAGTAGGCTTTGGAACGTTATTTTTGCTGGTTTTTCTTGGGATTTTCCGCTTTTCCAGACAGTTTTCGAGCGGGAAAACTGATTTTAAGTACGAGACTTGGAGTTTTCTTCATTTTTTTGCCAAAATTTTACAGTTTTAAATGCTAAAATTAATAAAAAGGGTGCAAGCAGAAATCATTGAAAAACAACTTTTCGGGGCCTTTTTTGGGAATTTCTAGTTTTAAAATCATTATTAATTAAGCTTTCTCAATAAATTACGATATTTTTTTTTTTAGGTGGCAACACTGCTTTGTAGCCAACTTCACTCGGGTTCCAATCAAGTAGGCCTTAGAATGTCATTTAAAAAGCCTGTCCCAGTGACATTTAACAGAGTTAGCCATTTTGAGTATTTTCGTTGAATTTTCCAGTTTTCCGGGACTTTCCAATCGAAAAAAGTACTCCAAAGTGTTCAGACAAGTGTCGCAGTTCGAATTCTGTGTTTGTTTCGCCCAGAAAATTGAATTTCCGATTAGGGGCCACAGTTGTTGAGGGGTAAGTACAAGAAATTCGATTATTATAAAACTAGGCCTCTTGTGTGTTTATAAGCTCTGTTCCAACAGACATGAAAGGCGTTTCAGAACCAGTAATTGCCAGTCGTCTACTTATTTTTCAATAAGTTGAACGTTTATCCTAATGGACAAATAAATTAATCGACTGGAAATTCCCGTTCTAGAACGCACTGTTGCCAGGTCAAAAAAATTAAATTCACCAGAAATTGAAATGAAAAATCACCAGATTTAAAAAATAATCACCAGAAATCTTGAAAGTTGATTAAAATCCAATTTTGAGACTCAATTGCTCTAAAATTATCTACGTTATCCAACTGAATCTAGCACTGATTTATAGAAAATTTAATGCTCTTTCCAACCATATATAATTTATTTTGATTTGCTCGAAATTTAATGGAAGTATTGGCAATTGCTCCTAACCTTGTCAAGATTTACAAAAAAAATTAGATCTGAAAATTGAGATTTTCTTTTTGATTTTTTTTCTCCTTTGAAATCGAGATTTGCAAATGAAGTTAGAGTTTTTTTCAACTAGTTTAGATCCGCTCTATCGATTGAAAAAGTCAAAATTCAAAAAATCTGAAAAATAAAAATTTCGATTTTTCCAAAGGGCTAACCCCTTTAGATTTTAATTTCAAAATTTTCAAACTCAATTTTCTCGAAACCCGTCAAAGATTTTGGATCAATTTTTTATGAGATTGTAATCCTTGATGAGGGCTTCAAAATCGTACTTAGTTGAAGTCGCTGACATTTACGGTTTTTGAGAAAATTGAGTTTGAAGTTTTTGACCAAATTTCAACTAAAATCCCACTTTGAGGCTCAATTGCTCTAAAAGTATTCGAGTTATCAAACTCAATCTAGCAGCGATTTATAGAGAATTTGATGCTCTTTCCAACCATATATAATTTATTTCAATTTGCTCAAAATTTAATAGAAGTATTGACAATTCCTCCTAACCTTGTCAGGATTCAAAAAAAATTTAAACCTAAAAATTGAGATTTTCTTTTTAATTTTTCTCTGTGTTGAAATCAAGATTTTGTAATGATATTAGAGTTTTTTTCAACTAATTTAGACCCGCTCTATCGATTGGAAAAGTCAAAATTCAAAAAATCTGAAAAATAAAAATTTCGTTTTTTCCAAAGGGCTAACCCCTTTGGATTTTAATTTCAAAATTTTTAAACTCAATTTTCTCGAAATCCGTCAAAGATTTTGGATGAATTTTTTTTGAGATTGTAATCCTTGATGAGGGCTTCAAAATCGTACTTAGTTGAAGTCGCTGACATTTACGGTTTTTGAGAAAATCGAGTTTGAAGTTTTTGACCAAATTTCAACTAAAATCCCACTTTGAGGCTCAATTGCTCTAAAAGTATTCGAGTTATCAAACTCAATCTAGCAGCGATTTATAGAGAATTTGATGCTCTTTCCAACCATATATAATTTATTTCAATTTGCTCAAAATTTAATAGAAGTATTGGCAATTCCTCCTAACCTTGTCAGGATTCAAAAAAAATTTAAACCTAAAAATTGAGATTTTCTTTTTAATTTTTCTCTGTGTTGAAATCAAGATTTTGTAATGATATTAGAGTTTTTTTTCAACTAATTTAGACCCGCTCTATCGATTGGAAAAGTCAAAATTCAAAAAATCTGAAAAATAAAAATTTCGTTTTTTCCAAAGGGCTAACCCCTTTGGATTTTAATTTCAAAATTTTCAAACTCAATTTTCTCGAAATCCGTCAAAGATTTTGGATGAATTTTTTTTGAGATTGTAATCCTTGATGAGGGCTTCAAAATCGTACTTAGTTGAAGTCGCTGACATTTACGGTTTTTGAGAAAATCGAGTTTGAAGTTTTTGACCAAATTTCAACTAAAATCCCACTTTGAGGCTCAATTGCTCTAAAAGTATTCGAGTTATCAAACTCAATCTAGCAGCGATTTATAGAGAATTTGATGCTCTTCCCAACCATATATAATTTATTTCAATTTGCTCAAAATTTAATAGAAGTATTGGCAATTCCTCCTAACCTTGTCAGGATTCAAAAAAAATTTAAACCTAAAAATTGAGATTTTCTTTTTAATTTTTCTCTGTGTTGAAATCAAGATTTTGTAATGATATTAGAGTTTTTTTTCAACTAATTTAGACCCGCTCTATCGATTGGAAAAGTCAAAATTCAAAAAATCTGAAAATAAAAATTTCGTTTTTTTCCAAAGGGCTAACCCCTTTGGATTTTAATTTCAAAATTTTCAAACTCAATTTTCTCGAAATCCGTCAAAGATTTTGGATGAATTTTTTTTTGAGATTGTAATCCTTGATGAGGGCTTCAAAATCGTACTTAGTTGAAGTCGCTGACATTTACGGTTTTTGAGAAAATCGAGTTTGAAGTTTTTGACCAAATTTCAACTAAAATCCCACTTTGAGGCTCAATTGCTCTAAAAGTATTCGAGTTATCAAACTCAATCTAGCAGCGATTTATAGAGAATTTGATGCTCTTTCCAACCATATATAATTTATTTCAATTTGCTCAAAATTTAATAGAAGTATTGGCAATTCCTCCTAACCTTGTCAGGATTCAAAAAAAAATTTAAACCTAAAAATTGAGATTTTCTTTTTAATTTTTCTCTGTGTTGAAATCAAGATTTTGTAATGATATTAGAGTTTTTTTCAACTAATTTAGACCCGCTCTATCGATTGGAAAAGTCAAAATTCAAAAAATCTGAAAAATAAAAATTTCGTTTTTTCCAAAGGGCTAACCCCTTTGGATTTTAATTTCAAAATTTTCAAACTCAATTTTCTCGAAATCCGTCAAAGATTTTGGATGAATTTTTTTTGAGATTGTAATCCTTGATGAGGGCTTCAAAATCGTACTTAGTTGAAGTCGCTGACATTTACGGTTTTTGAGAAAATCGAGTTTGAAGTTTTTGACCAAATTTCAACTAAAATCCCACTTTGAGGCTCAATTGCTCTAAAAGTATTCGAGTTATCAAACTCAATCTAGCAGCGATTTATAGAGAATTTGATGCTCTTCCCAACCATATATAATTTATTTCAATTTGCTCAAAATTTAATAGAAGTATTGGCAATTCCTCCTAACCTTGTCAGGATTCAAAAAAAATTTAAACCTAAAAATTGAGATTTTCTTTTTAATTTTTCTCTGTGTTGAAATCAAGATTTTGTAATGATATTAGAGTTTTTTTCAACTAATTTAGACCCGCTCTATCGATTGGAAAAGTCAAAATTCAAAAAATCTGAAAAATAAAAATTTCGTTTTTTTCCAAAGGGCTAACCCCTTTGGATTTTAATTTCAAAATTTTCAAACTCAATTTTCTCGAAATCCGTCAAAGATTTTGGATGAATTTTTTTTGAGATTGTAATCCTTGATGAGGGCTTCAAAATCGTACTTAGTTGAAGTCGCTGACATTTACGGTTTTTGAGAAAATCGAGTTTGAAGTTTTTGACCAAATTTCAACTAAAATCCCACTTTGAGGCTCAATTGCTCTAAAAGTATTCGAGTTATCAAACTCAATCTAGCAGCGATTTATAGAGAATTTGATGCTCTTTCCAACCATATATAATTTATTTCAATTTGCTCAAAATTTAATAGAAGTATTGGCAATTCCTCCTAACCTTGTCAGGATTCAAAAAAAATTTAAACCTAAAAATTGAGATTTTCTTTTTAATTTTTCTCTGTGTTGAAATCAAGATTTTGTAATGATATTAGAGTTTTTTTCAACTAATTTAGACCCGCTCTATCGATTGGAAAAGTCAAAATTCAAAAAATCTGAAAAATAAAAATTTCGTTTTTTCCAAAGGGATATTTATTTCAAAATATTTGATCTTGGATATCTTAAAATCTATTGAAGATTTTGAATTAAAATTTTCAGGAAATATAACTCTTGACAAGGGCTTTAAAATGGTATTTAGTTAAAATCGCTAGCTCTTATGGTTTTCAAGAAAATCGAGTTTGAAATTTTTAATAAAATTTGGACTAAAAGTTAACTTTGAGATCCAATTGCCCAGAAAGTATTTGAGTTATGAGAACCAATTTAGCATGGATTTATAGAGAATTTAATGCTCTTTCCAACCATATATAATTTGTTTTGATGTGTTCAAATTTCTTTGAAGATACTGGGCATTATTCCTAATCTTGTCAAGATTTGAAAAAATTTCCAGAACGAAAATTGAGATTTTTTAGCTTTTTGAAATCGCCATTTTGGAAGTGATGTTAGAATTTTTTTCGACTATTCAAACCCGCTGAATCAATTGGAAAAGTCAAAATTTAGAAAAAATTAAAAATAAAAATTTCGAGTTTCCGATTGGTTTGACTGCAACCCTCCATAAGCAACGCCACTGGCCAAACAAAATACATGTTGCCAACTTGAAAAATAATCGGCCAATAGCAACAAGGACCCGGAATAAACAGAAATTGAAATATAAAAAGGGAAACATATATAAATATATCAAAAGAACAAATACAAATTTATATAAAAATCAAAGCACCTCACACACCACTTATGGGTATTTTGGTTTACTGTCAAACTAATGAAATTTGGTATGTTGAAGTAAAATTTCAATACATTACGAGGGATGTTTATAAAGTGCATCTTTAGGGGTTTAACCCTTTGAAAAAATATTCAAAATTGATGAAATTTCAAAATCACCAGAAATTGCCATTTTTCAAAAAGTCTTTCACCAATCACCAGATTATTCATAAAATCACCAGATCTGGTGAAATTTCACCAGACTTGGCATCACTGCTAGAACGGTTTTCAAATCTGTTGGAACAGAGCTATAGTGTTATATGTTAAAAATAGGCGAGCAGGCAAAACAATATGTATTTCTATCTTTTTCTTAGCCAGGCTCAGAGAAAGAGATGGGCTCATGTTAATTCCCAGCGTTATGTTTTGACAGGTGAGATAAGCTTAACTATTATAAACAAATTGTTCATTTTATTTCAAAATTATGTTAATTTTAATGCATTTTAAACGTGATAAGGCCCTCACTAAAAATCCGGTACGGTTTTAGGGCATTTATGGGTTGAAAATTTGCTTCAAAGAGCTTACTTGACGTATCTCGCAAAAGTAAACTTTTATTAATAGAAATCTGGTCTCACGAAGTGACGTAACTATATAGTTGTTTTTTTTTTTTAAATTTTGCCCAACTATGAACTACATAATATTGTTGTTCTATAGAATGCCTATTAGAGTACTCTCAGTTAAGTTGAATCATATTCTTACAACAAATGATTGAATGTCACCGAAAAGATAAAATCGTGCCTCCTATTAAAATTGGAAAAATTGAGATATGACAGTATGTGAGATAGGAGAGCAGTCATATCGAATTTCGCCTTGTTCCTTTTTGAGTCCCTGTTTAATTTAAATCCAAAGACGATGACGCACCTTTATCACAATATTACTAGCAAAAAAGTTTGTTCATTTTTATTTTTATTCTACCTTTTGGGATGTATTATTTTTCTTAACTAATACTATCACAGAACACAATTTTATGAAAATTTATTAGGAGTGTGGAATTATTTTGCACCTCTAAAAAGTATACAACAATTTATAATTTTTTTTTCCTATAATATTATATGTATAGAGCAAGAAAAATTAGATTATTCTGAGAAGATTTATACATTTTTGCTTCAATAAAACTTCTCAGAACTTGAAACAATACTCAAAATAATGTCTTATATAAAATAGATTAGATGTTAGAAATGCAAATCAAAAACTATTATTGCTAGCCGCCTAAATCAAGATAGGCTAGCTTTCTCGATACTCACGATTCCTTAGTCTTTTCTTTCTGGTAAGCAATCGGACTTTGAATTGCCTTCAAAAAGTCCCGTTGCGTTTGCAGGATCTCCTTCAACGTTTTCACCCATTGGTTGCGCAAATCTTCCGATGGGGCCGTGCAAACGAAACCGATTGTGCAACTGATGTTTTTGCTTTGTACGGGTTCGGCAAGGGGTGTTTGATTCTTAGGGTCTGTTGATGTTAGGATGAAGCAGCCGTCTTCTCTTGAGTCGTCCAGTGTCATTCTGTTCACCTAAGATAGATTACAAGGGTTATTAAGGAGTTCTTTTTAAACTTGAATAGTTTCTACAATATAGTTGTCCAGCTCTTATTGTACAGTTGCCTTGAAAAAATGCTTCTCTAAACGCATTCAGGGACGCAAGTATGGGGGGGAAATGGGAGGGAGGACGTCCCCTCCAACCAGTTCAACCAGTTGGGATATGGGGTAAGTTGGGGGAATCGGTACACTTGAAAACATGAAGATTTACGGGGAAAATGAAAAAATATTTAAAAAAATGATAAAAATATGAAAAATAGCTTGAAAAAAACGATACTTTGGCAGGGGCGTAGCCGCAGGAAGGGTTTTAAGGGTTAAAGAAAAAGAAAGTTTAATTAGAAACTACTTCTGGAAATTATTAGAAATTAAAAATTATAATACAAATAATCTCAAAAAAATATATGCTTTTGACTTTTATTTTTTTAGTAAACATGTTGATTTTACTAGTAGCGTTCCCAAAGGGGGACGAGAGGTCCGTGCGTCCCCCAAATTGACTCATTTACAACGAATTTTCCTACCTAAAATGTGAAGTCATGAAAGACATATTGGGACATTACTAAAAACTCTAGAAATTTACCTTACGAAACCTGTTTTAGCATATATTATGTATTTTTTGAGCCTCAAAATTTTATTCTTTCCATATAGAGCATTTGACCTTGAAATTCTACAAAGTTTTCGCCTGCGGCGCAATTTTTTTTCTGACACTCCTATGGTTATGCAATGTTTCTCAATTTCAATAGCAAAAAACCCCCCTTATCTGAATTTTCTGGCTACGCGCCTGCTAGTTGGGATTTTTGAGAAAGACCAGTTGAGAGATTTTACCTACGTCACCCCCCCCAATAAAAAATCTTCGGGACGTCCCTGAACGCATTGTAATGAGATAAATAATACAGAGAGAAATTGACTGGTTTCCCTAGGATTTCTTTAAGATATCCCATAAGTTCTTTAAGATTTCCTTATGATTTCCTCTAATTTCCTTATGATTTCCCCTGATTGCCTTAGATTTCCTCTGATTTTTTTTTAATTTGTGAAAGGTTTTTATTAAAGAATAAATGACTCACGAACTTCTGCGGGACGAGCGGAGCGAGTTCCGCAGCTAAACATATTTAATTACGAGTTCAATAATAATTTTAACTTTTGAAGTGGAAAGAACAAAGTTATTTAAGTTGATCCAGAAAAATACAATTAGTCCAAAAAATCGGTGTCAGGAAAAGGTGTTTTGAAGAAAAAATCCCGGGCTTAGGTTTCATGACTGATCTTTATGTTTTCAGATGTACTGAAACCGATTTTCAAATTTGCCGCGCGTTATCGTGGTCGCCTTCAGGCCTTTACCCGAAATTTGACAATTTATTTAAAGGACCCCGCAATATTTAGATGGAAATTGGTTACCCGTGATATTTGGATGAAATTTAAATATGTTATTGGAGATGCCGTAAGCAACATTTTTTACCATGGGCACCACCCTGTATATATTGACTGGTGAGGCGTGGTTAGCTGTCAAATATTGGAATCTTACATCCAAAAGCAGAGTAACTATGGCAGATTTTGATGAACAAAAAATCTATTTCTACTAATTCGACCAAGTTAAGTCGAAAAATGTCAACCATTTTGACACCTGTTAAAACCCTGCCAAACGGCAGCGCTCATCTTTTCCAGTTTTCAATATTTTATGATGTCATTTGACATTTTTAACTTGTATGTAAATGCTGAATTCACAAATTCAAAAAAAAAAGACAGAACTGTCAGAATGACATCATTGTGGATTTCATTTGTAAGTGTCAAAATGTTTGAGTACTTTAATGATTTCATTATAGTACTGGTAACTATAATGATTTCAAGAAAGTACTCAAAAAAAATCGACGTGTGTGGTGTAGCACGTGGAGTGACATGACAATCGAACAGTTTCTGATTAAACAGATGAAAACAGACGGCGAACTGACTCGAGGCCGAAGAATCAGCAATGCCATATTATCCAGGTGGACACAAGGAATGGCTGCTTGCCAAGAAGTGTGCGATGTGATCGAAACGTTCTGTTCTGTGGTATAAACTTTGGTACGACAGAGCAACATGTTGTTAGCAGGTATAGCAGATTCAGATGAGACGATGAGGACATGAAGAAGATGTTAGAATAGTTTCGCAACCATCCACCTTTCTTGCTCTCTAAATACATAATATCTATCGGTACAGGGGTCATCGGAGATCCCAAAACAATTACTTGTTACATGGTTAAAGAACATGACGTCGAAAATAATGGAGAACGTTAAGACAGAGGACAGGACAAAAAACTTGAGACTCTCAAGTGAAAGAAAACTGATCGAGTGTTATTTCTAGCAGTTGTCAGCACTGCACTTGTAATTGATGACCGGCCTTTTCCCATAAAACCTTTGACTCTCTTCCAAAGAACCAGCGTTGCCAAGCAGTCTAAGGAGGAGTTACAAAAGTTCTTAACATATGAACTTATCTGTCCATACCCTTTGGCTCTATTTTTGATAATTTGGGCACGAGAAAGGGAGCCAAATTAGCCTTGTACAAGGCTTTGCGGCCGATGGCGAACATCTCTACCTTGGATCATGAAACACTGAATGTAATAGATGGTGGATTTCTGTTACATCGAGTGGTATAGCCATCAAACTCAAGTTCCTTGTGTAATATCAGTCATAGCTACATTTATTACGTTACCAACTCGAAAATACAGCTACATCCTCACACTCTGTCAAACGTAGATGTTTTGATAAATAGTCGCACAGTCTGTTTTTTTATGTATTAAGTGTTGTTAATTTTTCCAATGATTTCCTCCTTCACCTACCAAATCTACCGGCGATTGTGACAGTATTGGTTTCTTATTTTTAATATTTTTTCCCTTAATTTATACACCAAAATTCCCTTGCGGTTTATCATTGGATGGGGATAAACTGCAGGTCAGTTTTGCTTTGTACACCAGAATGCGGTTTTAGGGAAAATCATAGGTCTATAAACCTAGCAGTCCCAAGGTAGAAAAAAACTTCGGGAACTATATAATAATTAGGTGCTTTTTAGGTGCTATTAGGGCCTCTAATTAAAAATTAGGTGCTCCTCTAGTTTTTGAGAAAATCAAAAAAAACTAAGGGACTGCTAGGTTTATAAAAGCTAGCAGTCCCCTATAGCGAAAAATATTTTTTCAAATTTTTTTTTTGTATCAGAATTAGGTGCTTTTTAGGTGCTCCTAAATAGTCCAAGGAAAAATAGAAGAAAAACTAAGCAATCGCTAGGTCTATGAAAGCTAGTAGTCCCCTATAGTGAAAAATATTTTTCCAAAATTTTCTTTTGTATCAGAATTAAATGCTTTTAAGGTGCTCCTAAATAGTCCAAGAAAAAATAGAATTGAATAATTATTAACTCAGTTACAGATTTTTTTAAAATTATTACGGGACTGCTGGCTTTACGTTTACATGTTGGTGTGTCAGAATGGCAAAAAAACTTCGGGATCTATATAATAATTAGGTGCTTTTTAGGTGCAAATTAGGGCCTCTAATTAAAAATTAGGTGCTCCTCTAGTTTTTGAGAAAATCGAAAAAAACAAAGGGATTGCTAAGTCTATGAAAGCTAGTAGTCCCCTATAGGGAAAAATATTTTTCCAAAATTTTCTTTTGTATCAGAATTAGGTGCTTTTAAGGTGCTCCTAAATAGTCCAAGGAAAAATAGAATTGATTAATTATCAACTGAGTTACAGATTTTTTTTTAATTAATAGGGGACTGCTGGCTTTTCGTCTTGTTGGTGTATCAGAATGGCAAAAAAACTTCGGGATCTATATAATAATCAGGTGCTTTTTAGGTGCTAATTAGGGCCTTTAATTGAAAATTAGGTGCTGCTTTAGTTTTTGAGAAAATCAAGAAAAACTAAGGGACTGCTGGTTTAATGGAAACTAGCAGTCTCCTAAAGTAAAAAATATTTTTTCAAATTTTTCGTTGGTATCAGAATTAGGTGCTTTTTAGGTGCTCCTGAATAGTCGAAGAAAAAATTGAAGCGATTGATAATTAACTGAGTTACAGATTTTTTTTTTCATTATTAGGGGACTGCTGGCTTTACGTTTACTATTGGTGTGTCAGAATGGAAAAAAAACTTCGAAATCTTTATAATAATTAGGTGCTTTTTAGGTGCTCATATCAAAAAAAACTAAGGGACTGCTAGGTTTATGAAAACTAGCTGTCCCCTAATAATGAAAAAAAATCTGTAACTCAAGTGATAATTCAATTTCTTCTTCGACTATTTAGGAGCACCTAAAAAGCAGTCCCTTAGTTTTTCTTGATTTTATCAAAACCTAAAGGAGCACCTAATTTTCAATTAGAGGCCCTAATTAGCACCTAAAAAGCACCTAATTATTATATAGTTCCCGAAGTTTTTTTCCACCTTGGGATTGCTAGGTTTATAGACCTGAATATCATGGATGATTTTCCCTGATTACCAGTGAAATTGTCCAAGAGATTTCCTCGGATTTCCCCTAAATAATTTGTACACCCGATTTCCTTTACGGTTTACCCCTCTACATCAGAAAATCAGTCAATACTCAAAGAACTAAATATATAAAGATCCAAAATTAAATCAAAAATCAAAAGTTACCTGAACGTGGGCCTTGTAAATGTACTGCGGACTAGTAAATTGCGTCTTTTTCCCAACAATTTCCGAAAATATAACGCTCTGCTCGAAAAGGAAAACTTGCAACTCCTTGGTTTTCCCAATAATAGTAGGATTTTGCCCTGGAAGATCCGAAACACTTAACGGCCCGTGCAATAGCAACTTGCCTTGAGCTGTTATTTTGCCAGACTAAAATTCCATTATTATTATTTCAGTTAGATTAAACTACAATTCTCTTACCTCAAAGCCTTGTAACCGGCCAACATCCATCATATCATTGGCATTTTTCGGTACAACAACCATAATTTTATATGCCGCCTTCAAAGTTTCAAACTCATGCTTCAATCCTGATCTCTCAGTATATTTAAGTATATCCTTCAACATCAGCTGATATTTCATAATCCTTTGCACAGGTTTTATAAGAAGATCACAAAGTTGCAATTTATGACCCAGCTTCACTCTCAACTCCTCAAAATAATTATCCAAATGTTCAGCCACAATATACTCTGATATTGGCTTATTTTTGCAATAGATCACGTACATTTGCAACTTTCTTTCGTAGCGTTTGAACAATTGCGCCAGCTCTTCTGGATTTTCGATAGCGGCTTTGAGCGATTTGAGAAAGTGGTTCTTGTGCCAATCGTAAATGGCTTCGATATTACCAAAGACCATTTTGTCTTTGCCTTCGCGTAAATCTTCAGGCATGGGAATTTCGCAGTCGGGATCTCTCATTGTTGCGATATATCCGTCTACTATAAGAGACAAATCGCGTACGTACGCTTCTTCAGTGTCTACTAATTCTTGCAAAACGTATTGGCGTTTTTTGAGAAAGGATTCGATTTTTTTTGGGTCCAATTCGATCTACAATAATTGATTTGTTGAATAAAATTGGATTATTTTTTATTTATGGTTTTTACTTGTTTGTCGCTTTCGTCTCCGCTAAAAGCCAACGATGCAGCTTCGGTTGAAGAACATTGTGCGGTTAATTCTCTGTGATGGTGACTGTCCAAGCTGAATTCGGACAAGGCTTCTGAGCTGCGTGTGTTTCTGAGTGCCGAATGGCGTTCTTTATTTTCTGAATGTTGCTCCTATTGAAAAAAAAAACATATAGTTATTGCCTAATAGAGAAAAACAAATACAACCACTCCTATCATGCTCGTTTCTTAGAAAACAGCTGTTGCAAAACCGCATTATTTTCCATTAATAATCGAACATAAATCAATAATGATTGGGCTTTATGAATTATTAACAATAAACTGCTTATTATGATTCGATTGAGAACAAATAAGTCAGTCAAAATGTTAATGTTCCAATATTTGCTGGACTATCTGCTTTAGGAGCTTTAGGTAGGGGTGCTGCTGGTATAGCAAAAGCAGTACATTTTATTGGGTTTTTTTTTTTGAGAAAAAAGTACTAAAAGCGGTTAACATTTCATTTTCAAACGATACCAGACACATTTATTATATAATTTCTCTTGAGTCAAATCTAGCTACTACCTACTAATACAAAGTTGCATGCAAATTATCTCTATAAAGAATGCCACGGTTGACATGTAAAAATGATTGATGCAAAACTATAGAGTGGATTTACGAGTAAATTTCATGCAACAGAGGAACTCTACATGAAATTGCTTTTATATAAAATATTATAATATTTATTTAAAAGCTACAGGTGCACACTCCTGGACAAAATTATTGCTGAAACTATAATACAAGAAGCATTCAAAAAAATATATATATCGCACCATTCTCTCCTTGACGATTTGTTCAATCTCAGCCAAATCAGCTGAAGTGGCCCCCTCTAAAGATTTTATGGTAAGACTAGAAACCTAAATAGAACAGAGTTATGATTGGATGAAAATGAAAATGAACGTTAGAAGAACGAAAATGTATCAAGCATCTTCAATCAAAAAACTTACCCTCTTGCAAGGATTTTCATCGATTTCGGGTGGGGCTTGGGGTCCTAAAATGGGTTCCTGAATAGGTTTCATGGGCGGCGGAAGTTCAACTTCGTCATCAACTTCATCTCCATTGGTGATTTCTGAGCCTAAAGATTTCGCTCCTTTCAAAGAAGTGATTCGGTCGTCTTCCTCTTCGCCTTCTGATACTGACGATTTGTTGTTGCCCATGTCAGCAGTAGGGACCTGAAATTTAGAAATTAATTATACCTAAAACTCTGTGCCAAAATTTCAAATTTATTTATATACAATTCGCTTAGGTACAGAGACAAAATAAATGCTATACGATTTTTGTTTGTAATAAGGTCTTGTAAACTTTGCGGAATAAATCTATTTAGGTTGAAAATAATTTTGCGTAAGTTTTATAGCAGGAATGCGTAAATATACAAGCGAGTCAAAATATTATGCTGGAGCGTTAAATCAATTTTAACAGTTTTGGTTTATTATTTGTCTGTTAATTCTAACATGTTTCTAAATATAAAATAGGTAAACTATGGAATGTTTTCGGAAAATCCATGTAGCTATTTTCCTAGTAATGGGGTGAGATAGGTAAGGAAAGTTCCAGATCTGGCAACCGATGCACCCCTTTGGGTTCAGATAGTATATGGGTAGACGAGTCAAAAAAAGCCCGGGACACAATTTTTTTTTGCCCTATAGCGGCGTTGATGACGTAATCAATATAGCCCTCAATTTTTCTGTGACATGATTGTATATTTCCCTATATAACTCGAGTTTGTATTCTAATATCAACCTAACTTATTAGTGATTATATTAATCAGGAGGAGATATGCTTTCCAAGTTCTTATGACGACAATGTAATTTGTACGAGTTCCAAAAAGTAATAGAGTGGCTTTTTAAAGAAATTACCCGATCATGTAAAAAAAGAGGAAACATGAATTCGTTGATGCTACGACTGACCTAGCGGTGGTAACCTATGTTTGTTATGCCAGAAGCATTCAAAAGAGCATCCGTTTCATTATCCCGAAGCATAAAGGTTATGCAACCATGGCAAAGAATCTTGCAATTTTTGCTGAACATGGTATAAGAAATTTGAACGTGGTCTTTCACAAACACTAGTAACCCATTCAGCAAAATATCACAAATCTTGCAAGAACAAATATGACATACAAAAGGCGAAAGACTATCTTGTGAAAAAAAAAGCGGAAAAGCGTCCATATTGCTCAGACCATACTCCATCTCTACATCAAAATTTACAAAATCATCATTATTTTGTGACGAAGGAGAAGGTAAAGATAACTTGTGTCAGTTTACTGTGAAAAACGGAAAACAGAGTCGGAATCTCATATGCATCCGTCATCTGTTTTCCGAGGTCCGATATCCATTCTGACATATTGTTGTGCCACTGAGTACTGAGTGTATTTCCAGCTCTTTCTCTCAGTCTCTTAAAGAAACAGATAGAAATACAAACATATTTTTTTAGCACGATTTCTACCAACTGGCAACGCCATAAATTATTACATTGTCCCCGTACTGTGCAGAGTCTGTGTAAAGAAATATTTAATTTAATATTAGTTTTTAGGAAATTCCTTCGAGAATTAGACCTAGAGGGTTGATATGAAAATATTTCAGACAAAATAAGGACAACTAATTTCAATGTAAATTTTGGGATTTTGTGTATCAAAAAAATGCGAAAAGCCCCAAAAGATGTTAAGAAGCCATATTCTTCGAAATTCTCTAAAATTCTACAAAATTTTTCAATGTTCCCGAATATTCTACGATAAAATTCTTTCAAAATAAATTCTCGAGAATTTGCCATCTCTACAAACTTGTATGTTTTATTTTCTCGTTGTTTTTGCTATACCCACTTTAACAAACATTTTGAATATTTTTTTGTTTAGTGTATAGTAAATTTTAGGGGCATACAAAAAGCTTAGATGACAGATACCCATTACCCAACATAACATGGACGCTACCAGTATTTCACCACCTTAGATTTAGCTAGCGGCTTCCACCAGATCTAGATGCATGAAAACGACATCGAAAAAACCGCATTCAGCACAGAAAACGGACATTATGAATTTTTGCGCATACCCTTTGGTTTGAAGAACGCGCCGGCTACATTCCAAAGAGTTATGGATGATATTCTATATCTCAATATATTGAGCAACTTTAACACCGAAAGACAGGACATCCCATTCATAATAGTTATTCTTATACAAAGGAAAAAAGTATATAGATTTTAGAGCCAGATGTGATTTTCCTCCCGTCGCGAAGCCCAGAGAGAACGAAATTCTCTATTCAACTTTAGAGTGTTTCTAGATATTTCATTCTATTACATTAAAATTGGCCTGTTGTTGACCTGTCAAACTTGTATATGGGTAGTTAATTTTTTGACTATGCCATTAGCTTATTTATAAGTTTGTTTCGTGCGATAAGTTGAGTTTACTCCGCTTGCCCCCATCATTAGAAATCACAAAAATACTGTAAAAAGAGCCAACAATTTCGCGGCTGCGGCGCTTTTCTTTCTACAGCTGCCAAAGCTGCAAGGATCACTTCCTGCTAATTTGCCTCTTCTCCCCCCAAGACAAAATCCTGACTACGCCAATGGTGCTGTCGAAGCCGAGTATAGCCGAGCTGCCGAAGATGCACGAATTTCAATAATATGAAGGAACCTGCAGGGACGATCAATGATCCAGCGTGGCAATCCTGCAGTGAAATATGTATCTGTCAACTGGTCCCAATTAAGTCTATGTGTCTAGTAGCCTAGTCCTATTTATCTAATTAATTCTACCTATGGTAATTTTTCGAGCCCGAGCCCCCATAGTAATTTTGAAATTCCGGCGCCTATGCACCAGCAATAGACAACATAAACCACAATCAATCTTCTTCTACTGCCGTTACTTATTTCCATGGTCCAAGTAATAGGATTATTCAGAATCCTCACAGTGACACAGTTATGAAGATTGACGATGACAGTGGAACAATCAAATTCTCAATGGCCTCCCTGAATATATTATACTACTCTTCCTGCAAATCGTAAAGTTAGCAGTGCTTTGCCAACTGTCAGTCCAAAGTACACTGACCATGATCCTGCTTTCACTCCTAGGAAAGTCTTGAATCCTTGGTTTAATTCTGTCCTGGGGAAATTGCATATTGAAGACACACAATCAATCTTCTTCTAATGCCGTTACTTATTTCCATGGTCCAAGTAATAGGATTATTCAGAATCCTCACAGTGACAGTTATGAAGATTGACGATGACAGTGGAACAATCAAATTCTCAATGGCCTCCCTGAATATTACAGTAGGTACTCTTCCTGCAAATAGTAAAGTTAGCAGTGCTTTTTCAACTGTCAGTTTACAGTACACTGACCATAATCCTGCTTTGACTCCTAGGAAAGTCTTGAATCCTTGGCTTAACTCTGTCCTGGAGAAATTGCATATTGAAGACATACAAAGGAATAGAGCATATGCATAGAGTATCGTTTGCTGCTTCTCATGCACACAATGAACCTGGTTTTAGAAATATTGTCGTATCTAGGATAATAGGGCATCTCCCTTCAGTTAATTAAACCTAATCGTCTTCCAAAAAAGGTTTATTGGCTTCAGGAAAATCATTGATCATGTTACATTTAAATAGCATTCGGTTGCTGGTTGAACGAATTATTAATTCGTACGTAAAGAACCTAAACTTATGGAAGGTCAATGTCAACGACAGTTCACTGGTAATTATTATAATCAACGATCACGCGCCATAGTCGCTTGATTAATATAAGATAATTTTTGGAAAATGGGGAGGTAGTCTACAGACCGAGAATGATCCGCGTTAGTTAGTCAATATAATTTATTTAGTCCTGTGATAATTTTAGTGCTCATGCCCATATCTGAAATATATTTGTGGTAAGTTTTATTTCAAATACACTTTCCTATTTTTGTACTTGGCTCTAGTTTTGATTCTCACCCCCTCATTACCCGCAGATCCGACAATATAAAGTGTAATGCATCATTGTTTCTACTTCTAAATGACGAAGTTGGGACACCAGCAATGGTACGGCATATGATGGATATCATAATAATGGTTACAACAAAATTAAATGGAAATCTAGCTCTCGTGATTACATGTGACCAGCCAGTATATTGCTATTGGGAAGCAACTGCAATGGAAGTTTTCTGACAAGTATGGCATCATATTCTTGATGGGTGGCCTTCACACAGAAATGATGGTCATTATAACTAACTTGGCGAGTGGTTAAATGGTAGTTGATGGACTGAATTAGTGACAACCGCTGGTATTGCAAGTTCTGGTGTTGCAGAATCCTGCCTCACATCATCGCATGTAAAAAGTTCTTGGTATGCACACGAAGTTACTTTAACTGCCTTGCATTGACGTATGGCGAGGATCGCATCATATTCATGATGGGTGGCCTTCACACAGAAATGATGGTCATTTACTCACTTGGCAAGTGGTTAACTGGCAGTGGATGTACTGAATTAATGACAACCGCTGGTATTGCAAGTTCTGGTGTTGCGAAATCCTGCCTTACATCATCGCGAAAAGTTCTTGGTATGCACACGAAGTTACTTCAACTGCCTTACATTGACGTATGGCGAGGATCGCATCATATTCATGATGGGTGGCTTTCACACAGTAATGATGGTCATTTACTTGGCAAGTGGTTAACTGGCAGTGAATGTACTGAATTAGTGACAACCGCTGGTATTGCAAGTTCTGGTGTTGCGGAATCCTGTCTCACATCGTCGCATATAAAAAGTTCTTGGTATGCACACGAAGTTACTTTAACTGCCTTGCATTGACGTATGGCGAGGATAGCATCATACTCATGATGGGTGGCCTTCACACAGAAATGATGGTCATTTACTCACTTGGCAAGTGGTTAACTGGCAGTGGATGTACTGAATTAATGACAAGCGCTGGTATTGCAAGTTCTGGTGTTGCGGAATCCTGTCTCACATCGTCGCATGTGAAAAGTTCTTGGTATGCACACGAAGTTACTTTGCATTGTCAACAGATAAACGCAGTCAACAAAGCATACGAAACAAATTCCAGCGTCAGTGGAGAAGGTATTGAACTGTGGATTTTATCGAAAACATCTGAATGTCCTGAATTCCAATATTGGAATACAGTTATCAAACTGAAGTCCCTTCTAGTGTAACTTGTATTGAGTATTCCTACATCTAACTTTACCATGTACGTAAATACTTTA